AAAGTACAATTTAACTACTAAATTTAAAGTATCAGTTAACTCAGTTCCAGACCTTTCGAAATTGTAATACGTAACATGATAAATCCTTTTATGTTTGGAAACTTTGCACAACTCAACACAAACGATCATTATAATTTGATCAGCTTTATATCCAGTTTATTTAGTATGTTAAATGTCTTTAGTGTTTTAAGTGTGTTCTGTCGCATCCAAAAACAAAACTTGTAGTGTGAGTAGTGATGGGATTCAGTGACAACTAGTAATAGTGTGTTTCTCTATCCAGGTTAGTCTAGTTAGGTCAATGATGGTCTGGCATAGCCTGCTGGTCGTGAGATCGAAACCCGTCGACGAACATGCTAGCCTTTCAGCCGTGGGGGCGTCAATCCCAGTATCCGTTGGTAAAGAGTAGCCCAAGAGTTGGCGACGGATGGGCGAGTTTATAATTAAGAAACATCTTTGTAGATTAATCCAACCATTACAGGCGGCAACCTGAGGGGGCTTTCTGCCTTGGTATTCTGGATAGAGATATATGCAATACAGCTGGGATACTCTCGCAAACAGTTGGATATTCGAAGACTCTATTTGTGGAAATACTGAAGAAAAGTCTATTATTTTAAACGCAAAAAAATGAGACAAAGCTTTGAACTGTGTTAAATTAAAATAATTTTGAAATGTCGAGAGTTAGAAATTACTAAACAAAATAAGCTGAAGTGGAAATAACTAGAAATGTCTTAAAGTTACAACATGTTACTGTTGTGTTAAACAGAATTAATGAGAATACTGCAAACTGGAAGAAAAGTTTAGCTGTTTGTAGAGGACAAAGAGCCAGCCATCATAGATTTCAAAGTTTGAGCCTGTTGAATTCAGCATCGGCACAAAGATGACAGACAGTCAAAAAGCTCTCACTCAAAGAGTGGTATCTTCTTTTGTTTAGACAATCACAATCGGGAGACATCATTGGAAGTAGATTGTTTTGTCGAACACGTATGACAATTGCAAACGTAGTCTTGCAATAAGAAAATTCTTGCCTCTCTATACAATAGCCTCAAATAGTGATTATGATACTCCTATCAGTGCGCTGTTGTATGCATTATTCTTCCAAGATTGTTTCACAAGTTAGTGGTGATAAACAGTTCCCGCAACAAATACGGAAAATGAAAATGTGTATGTTTCTTAATCTACTAGTTATAGAGGGCTAAAAAATGGCGGAAAAATCCCAACATAATTCTCAATAGTCCTAGGTCTCCTATCTTTAACCAGTTAGATTGATAAATACACTAGTATATATAAATAGTACCATCTCTCGATGTGGCAGCGGTTAGGTTAAGGATTTACAACGATATAATCTGGGGTTTCATTCCCCGCGGTGGACACAGCAGATAGCTCAATAAGGCTTTGCTTTAAAAGAAGCAAACAAATAAATAGCAATACAGTAGATTTGGTGGATATAAATTTGTTATAATACTAGACTTTCACTGAAAGCTGTTTTAACCGAAATAGAAACAGAACCGGAATATATGTATTAAAAAAACTTACTCCGAGGACAAATATTGTTGTTATTAAAATTTTCATCGCAGTCATGCTTGTCAGAAGAATCCGTGCACACGGCTTCTAGTAGAAAAAAATGAAGAACATATATTTTAAATCTCTGATCTAGAGAAAAAGGTACTTACAAGAATTAGCAGTGGAAAACTTATGCTTTGTTTGCTATGAAGTTGAAAAATATTTTAGTAAAAATATACTTAACATAGTTTTATTACTTTTTCGGAAGATAAATCACTCTTTATAAGAAATATTTGAATATACTTCTACAGAGGCGTGTTGTTACCATTATCATATTTTATTAGTTACATTTAATAAATTATTATATATAATAGTTACCGTAATACAGTGGTGGCCATAAGTATTGCAAGGCTTATTTTCAAATTTCCTTAAAAATTTAAAAGAAAATGTGATTGAGTTAATACAACTTTTGCTTTGTGTGCACAGGGTACCGATAAAACAATTCTGATAAGTAAAAAAGTAACTTTTTTATATAAATTAGAAGCAGCTCATTGTTGGAAAGCTTATAATCTATTTCTAGAAAAACTGTTCTCTCCAATGTGACAATAGTTCTGTTTTACTTTGTAGCTAGAAATCTCCACAAATTTGAAAGATTCTTTCAACATGTATAAAAATAGAGATAAGCCAAGTTAAAAAAAAAAGTAGAATGTCCAAGAAGTATTGAAAGCTACATGATGGTATGTTCACACAAGACTCACAGGTGGCGCCGCTTTTCTGTTAAATAGATTGAACACAATAATATTAGATATATATCTTATTGTTCACATCTTGATTGCTGAATAATGAAAATTTACTTTCGTCATTATTTCGTTATCATTTGAATTCGTTTTTTGTTTAAATTACAGATACTATTAATAAATATTATACATTTCATTAATAGATGACTTAGCTATAGCTATAATCATAACTGGAAAACTTACTACTAGAAGACGTGGAACCCATGTATTAGTTTTAGAACAAATTCTCTACCTTTTGTCAGTGCAATGTTGCCACGGTAAACTTATGTCACAGCCGTTCCCAAGGAAGGATAGCCGTGTAGTGAAATAGTAACGATATGCAAAGCCCACAACACACCAATTTTATGGGCGATAAACTATAAGATAAGGGATAGCATCAGCTAGATAAGGCTAACATGCTCGTAAGAAAATGTAAAACGACTTAAACAGCATCCCACCACCACCACACACACACACGTTATTGATGCTACCATTTGCCAAAGTTCGTGGACTGGTTATCCAAGAACACTCAGAAAGTGATTGTTCACAAGTTGCACATCAACTGTGCACAGGATAAAATAGAAACCAGAGTGCACAAACAGCTCCCGAGACAGTGATGAGTAAAAGAAAAACTACAGAAAACTGTACACAATATAGTTTGCACGTGGTAGTTAGAACTATTTCGACATTAGATCCTGAGAATACTTGAACAAATGTAACAAGAAACGGATTATTTGCTAATGAACACGGTATTACAACAGTTTATCAAGATTTACAATTGCCACGTCTCCCTTATATAATGGGAAGTATAACCTTCACCATTTCACAGTAAAGTAAAATCGAACTATAGTTACTCTCAGGAGAACGTATTAACGCCACCTATACGAGATGAAAACCCCAGGATTCAAAAAAAAGGGCAGCTATATCATACGTCTACATCCACTTCTGTGAAAGATGGAGAACTGGTGGTCATGGTATCCATTTCTTTGTAACATTTCTGAAGTCCCCTACTGTGCACCCACAAATTTCTGTGCATTCGAATTGCTTACCTGTGATCTTGGAAGCCAATGTTCACGTATATAATAGAGTATTTGGAAAGCCTATCAGGATACATGGCTTAGACTGAAATCGCTATTTTTCGTAAATACTTGTTACAATGGAAATTTCGGTGTCGGATAAAACTGTATAATCATGAACACGAACGCCGTCGACGATCTACAGCTATGTATTTGATTCACGACGAATTTCTGGCCAATCGACAAAATGGTGCCAAAAGAATAAGCACGTATGTATTTGGCTTATGGCGAATTACCATTTGAGCCGAACCCCAATTTTTAGCGTTATAAGCTCTCAATCTTGCCACTGAGTCACGTGAGGGTCTAAGTTTGTATCACAGCCCTAAAATATTAAAACTACAATATGTGGAGAAAGATCAAAGTTCAAATGGCCAGAGGACGTTAATTACTATATAGTATCTGGGAAGAAACCAAAACTCAAATGGTCAGAGGTCATGATACTACAATTTATGGAAACAGAGCTTTACTTAGTTCAAACAGTTCATTGCCTCAATCTATTGCATTATGGTTTTTATTTAGTATGATTAGTAAAACGAGATTTATATTAAATTAAAATTTCTTATTTGGTCTAGCTGCTCTAATATCGTAAGATGTTAAATTGAAACAGAATGTTTTTACTAAAGTGAGCCCACAGCAACAAGTGTTGAACATCAAATACACAAAGTTACAAAAGTAGGATGTAAAACATTTTAATTGATGTATATGAAGTTTGTTTCTCATTAAGTAAACAGCAACTCAACGGACTATTTGGGCTGTGCCCACCATGGGTATCGATACCTAGTTTTTAGCGTTCAGTTTTAGCACTATATGAAGAGAAAGGTAACAAGTTACACGTGATAGTAGACATAAGTTTAAAACATTTGACTTAAGATGCAGTGACATTTTTACAAACACTTAGAAGCAGTCGGAATAAAGAAAAGCAGAAACATCGCCATAGTAGATGAAATAAGTGTCAAAAGGCTCGAGTATAGTTTGCTAAGACTTTTGGAATCTTTTTCTTTTAAATCGTTATGAAATGAAACTCGAAGTTTACTCTAAAATAAAAGCAAATCTTAAATAAACAAATTATAATATTCAATAAGATGCAACAACCTGGCATTGTATAACAGTGTTTAGCCTTTGCAGCTCAAAATATAGTTTTCAAACAAATTCAAATTTTGCCACTACCAACATTTTATGGTGCAAGTATTCATGATACAAATTGTATCTAGTCTTCAGGATTCTTGCGCCGGTAAGCTTACTAAAATGTTTTACAATTTAGTGAGTACTGGTTCACTGTTATTTACTACACAGATTAGGCTAAGATGATTCATCCAGTGAAAGAACACTAATCAGGCTTACCGCAGCGATAGATGCGGGCAGTATTGATGGAAAGTAGTAACAAGGTTGCCCAAGCAGGTTGCCGAATAGAACTTGTTTGTTTCGAACACTCCAGCAAACCCACACTAGGGATGTCTGTGCAAGTCATCTCTAATTTTAGAATGATAGTCTTATAGATCGGTAGCTAGCCAATAGAACCCACCGTTAACTAGGCCACGCCCGACCCTATATAAAGAGCTTATGTATGTACGTATATACTTATAATACGCTTATTATTTATACGAACAGAAGCTACCAAAGTAAACGACACTATTTTCAGTTTGGTTGATGTGTCTAATAAACATATTAATTATCGACTGCAATAAGCTTACTCGTTTTAAATCACGAACATTACTTTATTTCTTTCCAATTCTTGTCATATCTCGCGCAGACTTTACTTTCCAGGAGTTCATCATATCTACGAACATTGTTTATAAAGAGACAGCATAATTCAATTTTATGATCTTAAAATATGCATTATCAACAGATGCAGGAAATAAAACTATCACAGTAGTCTTCCCTGTTGCTGCCTACTTAGACAGTTTCCTATCATTACTAATGTTTCGTGGTCGTGATGAGTATCAAAAACTAGCCAAATGTAGAGAAAACAAAATGTCTTAAATATTTCTTCACCCTACCTACTCTTTACCTAAGGTAAAGTTGCCTAAAAACTTCAATTTAAAATATTAAATCTAATATGGAGTAATGTGTTTCTTCGTGTATTTATTGCACTTTCAAACGCCTGAATTTTAGATATTTTTCTGGATTGTTTTCAATTGTCATGATATCACAAGGATTCATATTAGAACTTGCAAATTTCTTAACGCATTTACTATTAGCTGTGACTAATTATTCGAACTAATACGTTCTCATATCAAAATGAAGAAGAAAAACATTCCCAATTGTAAGCTATAAACTTCCAAACATGTCATAAAATGTGCGGTTAAATAAACCACTTGGTATGTTCTATCGAAGTAGCCGCCAGATGGCGAGGTTAAAATTTTATTTTATTTTTGTAAAAACAATGAAAATGTCGTCTTAGTGATATAGGGTCTTTGGTTAGGCTTAGGTGCGTGTGTGTGTGTTTATCTTCTACTTGGATGAAGTATTGTTGAGCTTTAGCATCGTGACTATCGGATAATATATTGCGTGTTCTCAATTTCAGTATTGAAAATGAAGTACAGTATCAGTTTATAATTATATTAGATCAAAATACCATTTTTTAAATTATTATACGGTACTTGTACAGGTTTAATATTTGTTATTGAACCACCGATAGTTTTAATTTTCTTCTTGGATTACATCTACTAATCTATATAAATATAATAGCACTGTCTGTTGTATGTCCATGTAACTACTTCGCGGGGTGTGGATGGATCATCACCATAATTGGTATGGAGGTTCGTTATGTCCATGTGGGGTACATACAAATTTTCAGTTTTGAGTTTTGCGATTTTTATGGGCGTTTTTGTTTACCATTTCCTCGCCCCCTGATGATGGATGTTCACTAAATTTGACACGAAGGTTTGTTGGGTCCATGTGGAGACATACAAATTTGCGGTTTCACAAATTACAATTACATCTAAGAAAAGGAACTTTTCATATCCTATATTTATATAAATATTTTCCACAAGTACTACACGCAACTCCACTAACACACTAAAACACAGCAAGAGTAATAAGAATGTTAGTCGTTGAAACAATTAAGTCTGTCGTGAAAAGTCTTGGAAGTTATTATATCGAATGTATTTAATTTACATTAACTTCCGATCAAAACAAGATACTTAGAGCGAAATTATAAATCAACTTGGTAATGAATACAGCTAAATAAAACTATTTTCCTTACTCTCTTACTTATAAATATTATAATGCAATTTTTTATGAGTTGGTTACTCCCACTGTTAACGATATTTCTGGCCTTAATCCCATTAATAACTCACGATCCATCGAACAATGTACAAAACATTTTTTACTCATTTGATTAGCCTGTGATTCCCAGAGTAGCAGCAATAACAGCCAAGCTATCATTCTAGCTGTTTATTAGCCTGCGATCCCCAGTGTAACAACAATAGTAAATCAGGGTAACTGTAATGCTTTTAATCTAGCTGTTTTATTAGTCTGTGATCCTCAGAGTAGCAGCAATAGTAACAGCCACGCTATTAATCTAGTTGCTTATTAGCTCGCGATCCCCAAAGTAGCAGCAGTACTAAATCGAAGTAACAGCTTCGCTATCAGTCTAGCTGTTTATTAGTCCGTGATCCCCAGTGTAGCAGCACTAAATCAGAGTAACAGCCATGCTATAAATCTCGTTGTTTTTTCATTATTTCATTATTTTGTGCTAGTTCAGCATTCAGTTCACCTGGAATGTAGTAACTAAAAACATATAATCGGAATAGGCGAGTGTGTGTGTTATAAGCTACAAAACCGTATCCCATCTTACGAAGGTGACATCATTAAACCTAATCAAAAAGCCAACAACACATCGATTACCTCTGTTAAATCTCTCAAGCATAGTCGATAACAAAATAAAAAACAACCTTTAGTTTTAAACCTTTACAGATTTCTAATGCTCGGTCACTGATCGAAAACCTGTTTAATCAAGTTTTCGATATGCGAGCCCTTTTCCGAGCCTGATATAACGCCCTCAAAAATGCACGTGAACTTTTGTTTTTTGCAATCTTACGCCATGCAAACGTATAATTATGTTTAGAGAATTCGGTGTGACGTATATCTCCTCCCACCCCTCCTCCTAACAATAACTCCAATTGCCGTTTCTCTTTTGGTGATCCACCCAGAGCACGCTCCCTACTGTAACACTATTCAGTGAGATTCGACAGAGCGATTGACTTCCAGTTAAGAAAAGACTTACTGTACTAAGAGTAAAGCTACTATCACTGGGAGCAATTTGTTTGACAGGCTTGAGCTTCCGTTTTATAAGTTTTCTTTATTTTTTCAAATATTGTTTGTTTGTTATTAAGCACAAAACTACCTGTGCTATGTCCCCCACAGGTATCGAAACCCGGTTTCTGCGTTATAAGCCTTTATATAAGTGATTGTGGTTTCGCTGTGGTTTCGGTAAGACACAACTTACCGTTGTGTCACTATGTAGAAATAAGAAATATACTATATATATATAGACAATATGTGGATTTACAAATAATGACAAGAATATCCACATAAAAGTGATCAAACATATTGATTCAAGAAAAAAAATAATCATGATACATAAGCTCATAGTAATTTAATTGTTTCTTACTAAAGTAGTTATCAAAAAAAAGTTAAATAATTTAAAACTTTACCCCCTTCGACGGACAAGTGATATATATGTACATACAGAAAAGCTCAGATGTATTTGGAACTAATATGTACCTTTTTATTGTTTAGGAAATATTGTTTGCAAATTTTGTTCTAGGTTACGTTCTCAGTTTCTTTTACTTACTATAGGTGGCTGAAATTAAGAAAAAATACGGGGTAAAATTAAATCGTAACATTTATAATTTCAATATTTCAGAGCTGTTTTTTCGCTTTTTTATGGGTTAATCCATGA